CTTCTTCTCTCTTCTTTGCTAGGGCTTCCGCCAGTTTTCCCGCACAATCTGTGCAAACACAATCTGGGAATTTGTCGATGTCGGCTAAGTCGTCCCATAATTTCTTCAACTTGCCATAATATGCCATCATGCTAAGTCCCTTTTGTTTACATTCAGATATTTCACGTTTCAGTTGTTGGACGCGAGGTCCGTTCACAACCGAAAAACATGCCTTCAGTTCGTCCCATAGATCAGATGCAGACTCGCCCGTAGAGATCGTGGATCGCAACGATGGTTCAATCGTGTTGCGTATCCATGACACTATAAGCGAATGATTGGTCCACCAATCATCCAAGTCGTCTGAGCCTGGATCCGGCTGCGTTATTGATCGATCAACAAATCCAAATTTCTTGCGAGCCCGTAAGGCAAGGCGCAAGGATTTGGACCATTCGTCATAGTTTGGTCCCTTAAGAACAACCTGGGTTAAAAGCATACCCGGATTGTCGCTGGGTGAGAGATCATATGGCGATATGCGACGACGTCTTTGCACCATGTCGTCATCGTTCTCGTCCACATGATTCTTCGGTGATGCTTTCAGATCCTTTGGGGTTGCCTCGCCTGCCATGCTTGCTGTTCGCCGGAGGGAGATCGTTCACCGTCAAAGGAAAAAAACGAAGTAGTTCGTATGATGCTGGATGGTAACGTGCGGCTGTAGCACACGAAGGAATAGGTATTTTAGGTTTGCTCCGATACCATGTTACGTAGTAGTGTTTCTGGGCTGAAAAACTATTGTATTCTCTCTTGGTTATTTACAATACAATGGGGAGTATATATATACAGCAAGGTATTCCTAATAGGATTAGGAATGCTAAATAAAAGGAAGTTACCATATACAAGTCTAATACAAATCAAAGACTAATATTCTAATATTCCTTTTCCTTCTCTAACAAACAACATACTCCCTCCGTCCCAAAAAGTCTTTCCTGTTTCATTTTTTGCACATCCCATAAATCACTTATATCCCGCCTTGAATACCAAAAAAATTTTCAATATAAGTTCTACCCACAATAAAGAAGAAATGTTGTAAATTTTAGGCATTTTAGATGTCGGTAGAAGTGTTTTATAGGATGCGCAAAAAATGAAACAGGAAAGACTTTTTGGGACGGAGGAAGTAACACACTTCCTGACATCGACATCGTGCTAACAACCAATCTCAATTGCAAACAAGTGTTTCGAGCTATTCGGTACTTAGTTGGAAAGTAGTTACCTATAGCAGACTCGAAAATACATTTTTAGTGCACTATTTAAAATTAAATTACTATAATTTTCATTCTATTATAATAATCCAAGTCATCCAAAAAATAACTATAGTAATAGTTTTATAATTTTCAATTTTAAAATGCGACGCACACATAATTGCAATTTGACAAATATTAGGAATGAAATATTTACACCACGTTTGTTTTATAGGAACACCAATATGAGATTAATAAAAATCATCTTCAGTTTTTTTAAAATAAGTAGCAAATTAATACATTCATACCAAAAACATGTTACTAGCTAGTAGGCTTATACACCAGCCAAATGATAAAGTAGCATCATCAAACACATTTAACACATTTACAAGTTTTTCCATCAAATAATATTATACTTTCTTCGTCCCAAATTATAATGCATGTTTACTATTCACAGGGTCAAACTTCATTCACTTTCTTTCTCTATTTTCGTTAGCAATTTGATAAAATAAAATATTATTGTCACTACTAGTTTTGTAGATCTTTTGATGTAGTTTTTTAATATGTAATTTTTATTTTTTAATTTTATACCATTTGTCATATAAAATGGTTTGAAAATAATTTCAGTCAAACATCGTAAACCGAAACAGGCGTTATAAAATGGGACGGAAGTAGTACATTTCAACAATATAATTGCAATTATTCTTTCAAAAATGACTCAGCTCAAAATTACACGGATATTAGTTTACTTCTCTTGTACTTTGGGTGTGGAAGGCTGGTTTGTACCCAACATATATATAGAAGTATATTTCTGATTTAAATATTTTCTATTTTCTGCACCCACTAAATAAATGTTTATTTAGTACGGAGTAGCAAATTAAATACTCCGTCTGGTCTTAAAAACCTTTCTTGTTTTGATTTTTTATCAAACGGTGACACTCTTTGACCACAAATTGTGACAAAATTATATTTAATTGTGATATGAATTCAATATAATTGTGTTAACCTTAGGATATAGTTTTGATATATCAAATTTTTTATATCATTTATTTATTTAGATTATATTTAATTAGAGGTCAAAGAGTATCATTATTTGACCAAAAAAAGTCAAAATAAGAAATATTTTTAGGACTGGAGGGAGTAATTTGCTATAAATGGAAAGTTTCATTACTAGTCCTATTTTCACACGTCAAACAATAGTGCAATGTAACAAAAGAGGTCGTTTTATCTTTCTTCAATTGCTACTCTAAGTAATCTTGCAATCTAGAAATTACTCCCTTCATCCCAAAATATTTTACTTCTTTATCCTTATGATTTTTCGATAGCTTTTATTTATTGCATGCTTTGATTGTTCATATGATAGTATAAAATATTTTTGTGACCTCTTATTTTATATTCCATCCGTCCCGTAAAAAAGTTCCCCTTTCTTTTTTCACCAGTTCCAAAAAACACTTCCTTTTTCCTTTTAAAAAGTCACTTTTATCCCTACTAATCCTTAACCTACCTATCACATCACACTTTTTCTCTATTAATCTATCCATCTTATCATACTTTATCCATCACATCATAGGGCATTTTTGGAAAATCAACACTAAAATACACTCCCCTTGAATCCTCAAAAAGTCAAAACAGAAACTTTCTTAAGGGACGGAGGGAGTAGAACTTTTGAGGTGATTTTTAAATATTTAAGTTGTATTTTTTTATGTTTCTATATCAATTTTTAAATAAAATCAATATAAAAGTGAAGTGATTTTGCACGTCGTTCGAACAGGGAACTTCTTTAGCGTTGGAGGGAGTAGCTATTTCTTTCATTATAATTTAACTCACGACTATAATTTTCTTGGTATAACAAAAATGGAAGAATATAGATATATATTTCATGTTCAATTTATTTATAATTTCTTTATATATTAAGAAAATCATATAATAGTTAGTAAAAGACGTGAAAAAAACAAACAATTTCTTTTTTTTTTTTGAGGAGCTCATCAAATGGGTTATCTACTTATCTCTTCAAGTGAGGACACGTGACAATGTTCCATTTTTGATCTCCTACGTCAAGCTAAGGTTTAATTACTACTCAGCCGTACACTGGATGTCTGGATTCTGGAACAATAAATATATTTTGCTACTTTCATTTCATAAAATTTCTGACAATTTAATTAGAGAGTATTTAAGAAAATTGTTGAAAATAAAAAATACGTTCCTAAAATTTGTTTAAAGGAAAAAGACTTGTTGGCAACCAATAATCACCTATTCATTATCAAATAAGGAATAAAGTCTAATTTTTTTAATTTGGAACATCCAAAAAAAAAGTGTAAAAAGTTTTAAACTAAAGGACAACTAACAGACAACTTATTTGGAAGGGAGAAAAGGCAAACAAGCAACTTAAATTGGGACAGAGGTAGTATAACATTGGAAAAAAACATATGGTACTACATTGAGAAAGTGACTATATTTTAGTACTATTTAAGTAAATTCTCTGAAAATATACTGAACACAAAATTTGGCAATATTTTTATACTATCTCCGTCCCAATTTAAGTTTATCTGTTTACTATTCACATAGTTAAACTTTAACCACATTCTTGCCCCATTTTGCAATTCATTTGAAAAAATAATAGTCTTGTCACTACTTGTTTTGTTAATTTTTTATATAGTTTTTAGATATATATTTTTTTTCACTCATTATCAATTTTTAAATAAATTGAATTGAAAATAACTCTATTCAAACTTAGGACTAAAAGTTCACACCAATACTTCCTACGAGAAATCGCCATGTTAAGGGAACAAAAAAGAAAAATACTACCTCCGTCCCATTTTATAACGTCTGTTTCGGTTTACGATGTTTGACTGAAATTATTTTTAAACCATTTTATATGACAAATGGTATAGAATTAAAAAATAAAAATTACATATTAAAAAACTACATCAAAAGATCTACAAAATTAGTAGTGACAATAATATTTTGTTTTATCAAATTGCTAACAAAAATAGAGAAAGAAAGTGAATAAAGTTTGACCCTGTGAATAATAAACAGACATTATAATTTGGGACGGAGGGAGTATAAGTTTAAGTGGAAGACACAATAATGCCCCTATAGAATGGAAGTACTCCGTTATTTGAATGCCCTTTTTCCAAAACAAAAAAAACTCCGTATATACTAAGCACACTAGCATTTTCATCATCTATATACTAAATGTAAATATACATTTCACTCTTCAACAAATTTTTCTTTTCGATCATTGTTCGTCGTCGTCTCTCCACACTTGTCGGAGCAATTGATACCGCACCGTCCCGCGGCTCCCCTTACCTCGGGCACCCGGGGAGCCCCGGGATTTGTGGGCCATAATGCAAGAAAATGGGGAGTCCAGCTCGTCCAGCTCGTCGTCGCTAGTGTACGATCTTTTCACGACTGACGACGAAGAGCCAACGAGCGAAAGAGATCGGGCCGACCCGACGACATCTCCCGTGGGCCCCGCGAGGGAAGATGAGTAGACAATGGGAGTGGCACTGCAGGGAAAGCCCAAAAGACACTCTCCACTTGCATCCATGTCATCCTTTCAGTTCATGAAACAATGAGCATAGCAAATTAGGGAATGGATGAGTGGACTATGAGTGTATCAACCACTACAAAAGAAAGCACTCTTCAATTTGTACACATGAATCATTCTTACAAAAAAAAAGAGAATATTCCTTCCGTCCCAATTTAGTTGTCCACTTTTTTTTATCCCAAAAAAACCTGGCTTGTTTTGACTTTCACGAAGTTTAAGAAAATTGTTGAAACGCAGGGTTGGGGTGGGGGTGCAGGGGCGGGGGTAAGGTGGGGGGTT